GAGAGGCTTGTGAGCTTCACTCAAAGCACAGAGCAGAGCTCCCAGGTCCCCAGTGGCCGAGTACTCGCCGCCTCCATCCTCAGCCCCAGCCCCAATCCAGAAATCTGGACGGGGGTGTTGGGCCAGGTTGGCCAGTGGAGATTTATTGATAACCATAAAGCTGAGGTGAGTGGAGAGAGTGACACCGAGAAGAGACTCCCGTGACGAATAAGTAGAATGCACTGGGGTCTGCGAGCCCGCACCGGGCGGGCGTCTCAGGGGATGTGTGCCTGCGTCCTCGGGACCACGTGCTCGTGCCGGTTGGTCAGGGCGTGGTGGGAGTGGATGAGTGGAGAGTAGGGCCGCCTTTGGGTGCAGCCAGGCCAGGGGTGGCTGGGGAGTGGGGGGCAGACTCCAGGCCAGCGGGACCCCCTGGTCAGAGCCACCCCCCAGTGCCTGTTAGCACCACATACTTGAAATGCTTTCCCAAACGCTGAGAAGCATTGCCTGCCTGCCTCCTTCTTTGCCCGGCCTCAGCTCACCAAGGCATTTGAAATGTTTGCTTTTTGACATAGGCATGTAGGGAAGGGGGTGGAAAGTTTCAGGGAGTTGGGAAGGCTGGGCAGCCGCGGCTGCACCTGGGAAGACGCCACCGCCTCCACTTATGCAAGCCTTTCCCTCTCTGGCTTTTGCAACGTTTCTGTTCTGCAGCAGAAGCAGACAGACATAGCTTGGGTAGAGGTGGATTCTTGAAGGTGCCTCTCTGGTGCTGCGTTTCTTCCTGGGTCAGGTCCGTGGGGACTTTATGCTGGGGCTGTGAGTGTGTGAAGGCTGGAACAGGGGAAGGGGGTGGGTGGACAGCTCGATGGACTTGCTGGCATTGATGGTCCCTTTAAGGGAATGGAGTTGGGGAGCCCGGGGAGGGCTTTGTGCTCACTCCATAGGCCCACCCAGGCTGGGAGGTCATGGAGGCCAGGGAGGCCGTTCTGACCTCACGGAGGCTCGGTGGCCCTTGATCCTGGACCTTCCCTTTCCAGCAGCCCCTCTGGGCGCTCTCTCTGCCCTCATGTTATTTTTCCAGGTGGGTTCCCCGATGGAGATTTTCTCTCTAAGCCAAATCCACAGGCACCACCTCGGGCCCTACCGCGCACAGGCCGACTGAGGGTGCCCGTGACCTGGGGCATGCTACCTCAAGCTCTCTGAGCCCATTTCTCAACTGAAAAAATGACAGGATCATCAAATAGGGTTATCGTGAGGATTAAGGAACCCAACACCCCTGGGGAAAGTGCTTCGATAACATCCAGTCCATGGTAGGGGCTGCTAGCTATTAGGATTTACCTGGATAACAGAAGAGCAAGGATTCTTTGGTCTCACTTAACTGCATATATCAGGCTAAATGCTGATGTGCTTGGGCAGGGTGGTGCCCGGGCCCTAACTGCCCCTTTTCTCTGGGCTTCAATCAGCATCAGCTGACTGGCCAACCATTACCTTTATGGCTCACTTCCCCTGAGAGAAGCAGAAGACACTGCTCTAAGATTCTTTCAAAGTGGAAGAGGAGGGTAGGGAAGGAGAGGGTGTCCTGGGTTTTGGCAGGATGTGAGGACTCTGGGTCTCCTACTTACAATGCCCCAAATCTCCCAGCTCTGGGGGTGGGGCACTCATCCCTCCTCTCCAGAGGGTCCCCTTGCCCTTTGATTACTCCAGACACACATTACTCAGCTTCTGTGCTCACCTGAGGATGTCAGACCTCAGAGAATTCCCCTTTGGAGGACACCGTGTGGGTTCCAATCCCTGTTCCGTTTACTACCTCCGTTGTTTTCCGGTGTTCCGTGCCCGGCCTCAGTTTCACCATCTGTAAAATGGGTGAATCCATCCTCGCATCTTCCATAGATGCTGCCAGGGTTCTCAAAAACCACACACAGTAGCTATTATAATGCGATTGTTTTCCTGTGTTTGGAACACTTCCTCCTAGGAGACCTGAGGTGAGTTAACTTCCTGGCCTCAGTTGCCTGATCTGCAGAATGGGAACGATAAATGTTTCTGTTTCTTAGGGTTACTGTGAGGATGGAGTAACAATACAAGCAAAGCACTTAGAACAGTGCCAGCACACAGTAGTGTTCAAGACATAGTTAGTTATTCGTATTACCCTTATTATCATCATCCTCGCCCACATTTTGTCATTAAGGTGACCTTGCATCCTTCCACCCTCACTCTTCTCAAACATATGGTAGAATCATTCGTTCATTCAACTGAATGAATGAATCATTGAATGAATCATTCATTCATTCAAATATATATACAATTCGCTAACTATCTTCACACGCAGAAGAGTGAGGCAGATATTTGGGAATATGGCGCAGATCATCGTTAACTTGAATGTCTGCTCTTTATTTACCGGTGAAGCGGAAGAAGGGTAGATGGGAGCGGGGCATGGGAGGAACTCCTGTCTCTCCTCCGAAGACTTTTGTTGTGAGGCCTCTTTGGTCCAGGCTAGTGCCTGGCCTGCCCAAGGAGCAGGCTTTCTGCCACGGAGCTGGGAATGGTACTTTCTGCCCTCATCCCACACTGAACCCAATTTGTGCTTGGGCCCCAGAGCTGGAACTGCCACGGTCCTTCCGGAAGCATGATTTCAGGGCTTTCGTGCAATCTGGAAGACGCACTCCCACTGACTTCAGAGATGAATGTGCTTTTCTGGGATTTGAAGACCTATGAACCTGCAGGGAACTTTCGGCGTCTCCATCTGGCTCTCTGAGTCACCCAGTCTGCCCGGCTGTCTCCTCAGCTGGTCCCCCCACCGAGCCTCCGATAGGTCCTCACCCGACAGAGCTTCCGCACGAGGGCGCATCCACACTCGGACACTCGGTGCTTGTTCCCTGCGCTCCCCGGAAATAAGCCGCAGCGCGGGGCTCCTTCCTGCAGCGTCCCCTCCTAAGCTCAAGTTACACACTTCACCTGGGAGCCCAGGATTCTTCCCCCTGCCGGAGCCGGGTTAGGGCGCCCTGCCGGAGTCCTGCGGCTGAAACCTCTCAGAGAGGTTGCTAACTGCTGTAAGCACGTGGGGCTCGCCTCTCCAGACCGCGACTAGAACTGGGGTTGTTTTTTCTTTACTATCAGTGCCCTGCCCACCAGCTGCGCGTGTCTCCGCCTGCGTCCCGCCCATGCCCAAACTGGGCGGTGTTTATTATTGTACGAATTCAAGCTCCGATTTGCCTTAGAGTTTAGAAGGAGCGCTGCGGTGGCGCGCCTTTCCGGAAAGGCAAGGATGTACGTGCTGGACTTTGGGTGCCTGGGAAACTCCAGGAAGGGCTCCGGGAGCGGAGGTGGGGGCTCCGCGCAGTAACACCGGTTTGTCTCTTGCTCTGGGTCTGGCTCTGGGTCTGTTCGAGCCGGCACCGAGGCTGGATCCAAACTTGAGCTTGCAGGGGGCGCTCTGGTCTGGAGGGGTTGGGTGACTCCGGCGACTGTGGTACCCGTGCGTTGCAAAAGCGCCGACATTGAGGTTGTTTTTCCATCCCAGGGTTGAAAGGGGGGCTCCGAGGAAAGCCAGGGATCCAGAGAGAAGGCAGCGCCCCGCCCCCTCTTGGCTAGAGGGCCATCCTCAAGACCAAAGCCGGGACCAGGCCAGGCGGGACACTGGGCATAAGTTAGAATTGCAGGGCTGGGAACGGAGGCCTGGTTGTGTCCCAGGGCCTGACCTGGCTGTCCCTCAAGCCCCGCCTGCCCCCAAACCGGTTTTTCGACCCTGACCGTGACTTCCTTTTTGGTATTTCAAACGTACCGGGTCCCCTGTAGTCTGTTCGGAACCCCCAAACACATGGGTTACTTTCTGGATTCCGCATTGTAGAGTGGGATTCTCCCTGCTTTTCCGTGTTCAGGGGTGACCTGAGCACTGGCAGCCGGTCCCCAGCATAGGGTCGCCTCTCTGTGACAGCAGCAGCAGACAGGCCCCTCCCTCGTTAACGCAGGTTTACTGCGTGTCTTCCCAATTGCCGTGGAGCCTCGAGGGCCGTTACAACCCTCACCTGCCGTCCTCACTCCTCTGCCTTCTCTTTGGCATCCACACGGTTGACTCAAGAAACGTTAATTCAGTTACCCCAAGCTTTTTCTTTCTTTCTTTTAAAATATATTCAGCAAAGATGGTAAAACAGGCACTAGTCACGTTACGTGCCACCCCTCCAAGGCGGTGGAGTAGGGGGAGACACCTCCTTCTAAGTCAGCATCATTCAGGCTTTTTGATTCAAACCGGGACGTGGCTAAATGTAAAATGAGACCGGGTGGGGAGTGCTTACACCCCAGGGTGAGTGGGGAGGGGAGCGGCGGGAGAGCGAGCAGGCTTCCCAAAGGCTTAATGTAATCACGGGCCAGCTGCGTGCACTTGTAAAGTTGTTCCAACCCCCTCCTTGTTATAAACAGGAAAGCACAGAATATAGAGAGAGACCCGCATTCACAAATACCAGCCCTGCTGCACCAGCTGCCAAGTTCCCCTTTTATGGTGCTCCTCCTCGCACTCTCAGGCCCATCAGAAAGATCTTAGTCTCTCCCCCTCAGCTCTCCGAAAGGGTTTACTTTGAAACCTCCCCAACTAAGCTATGGACCCGGTACTGCACGCCCTCTCCAACTCTCAGTGCCCTGTGCCACTGGCTTCGGGAGAAACTGGGCTCCTGGAGTCCTCTTCCCCAGGTCCCCAGGGAGCCCCGAGGTTTGCCCCTTTCGGGATGCTAGGCCCCCAGGGAGTACGCCTCCACCCCCCAGCTCCTCTGGGGCATCCCAAGGATCTCTCCAAGGAGGGCTGCATCCTCTTCTAATCAGACTCCCGTCTATCTCCTCTCCCCCGCCAAAATATCTAAGAGCTCTTAAAAGACCTCAGAAGGCATTTTATGAGACTGTGTCATCTCTACATTTCCTACTAAGCCTGGGAGAAGAAAAGATCTTTTGTGGGAGGCCATGGGACTTCGGGGCTCCCCCAGGCCAGGGGTAAAACTCACCCCTGCGCCCCTCCCCCCCCACCTCTCCTTCCTGGCCTGGCAGACCCCGCTCTGAGCCACCGCTATCCACATCCTGCCTCACTGACTGTGTGTGCTTACAGCGTCAAGGGGTGGACGTGATATTTCAAACATCAGATCAGTGCGTTTATATATTGGGTGCCCGGAAATTTTTCCAAATAAACACAGCTTGATTCAACTTGGGTGGGCGGACTTATCAACAGACTAATTCTATAAACAAATGAAGGAATAACCCCGAAACCGATTGGCTGGTATCAAAAAGACACGTGGAGGGAAAAGCTTGGAGTTTTTCAGCAATGAAATTTTAATTAATGTGGGTGGGCTGAGAACACAGCGACTGTTTATCATAGACAATTTATTTTCCAGCGCTAAGTCAACATATAATAGCAAACTTACAACAATTATTTAACATTTTTAAAGCCATGAAGAAGGGACAGAGCCCCGAGCCGCCGGGGAGAGCGGCAGAGCGGGAGGCAGGCGCAGGGCAGGCTCCCCTGGAGGGCCCTTGCGGCGCGGGGCACAGTCCCTAAGCCGCCTGGGTCGCCTGCGACGCCGGAGCGCAGCGCGGGCTCCCACTCGCCATGAGCCACCTCTTCAGTCCCCGGCTGCCTGCTCTGGCCGCCTCTCCCATGCTCTATCTGTACGGCCCCGAGAGACCCGGGCTGCCTCTGGCCTTCGCCCCCGCGGCCGCTCTGGCGGCCTCGGGCCGGGTGGAGCCCCCCCAGAAGCCGCCCTACAGCTACATCGCGCTCATAGCCATGGCGATCCAGGATGCGCCTGAGCAGAGGGTCACACTCAACGGCATCTACCAGTTCATCATGGACCGCTTCCCTTTCTACCAGGATAACCGACAGGGCTGGCAGAACAGCATCCGCCACAACCTCTCGCTCAACGACTGCTTCGTCAAGGTGCCCCGCGAAAAAGGACGGCCCGGCAAGGGCAGCTACTGGACGCTGGACCCTCGTTGCCTGGATATGTTCGAGAATGGCAACTACCGGCGCCGGAAGAGGAAGCCCAAGCCGGGCCCCGGAGCCCCGGAGGCCAAGCGGGCCCGCGCCGAGCTGCAGGAGCGCGGCGCAGAAGCGCAGCCGGAGGTGGGGAGAGGGGGAGCGCGCCCCCGCTCCGCGACCCCCATCCACGAGGGAGCGCCTGCGCGCCCCTCGCCCCTCCGGGAAGGCTCCTCTCCTCCGGCGTCCCTCCACTGGCCCAGGCCCGCGTCGCCCTCTGGGGACGCAGGCGACGCGCTCCAGGGCGCAGCGGCCGTGGCCGCCAGCCAGCCCGCGCGCACGGTGGATGGCTCGCGGTCCCCTCCGCGCCCCGCCTCCCGCAGCTCTCCGAAGAGCTCGGACAAGTCCAAGAGCTTCAGCATAGACAGCATCCTGGCGGGACGGCAGGGGCAAAAGCCGGCTGGAGGGGGCGAGCTCCCGGGGGGCGCCAAGCAGGGGCCCGGCGGCTGTCTGGGCGCCTCGCTTCTGGCCACCTCCTCCGGCCTCCGTCCACCTTTCAACGCTTCCCTGATGCTCGACCCGCACGTCCAGGGCGGCTTTTACCAGCTCGGGATCCCTTTCCTCTCCTATTTCCCTCTGCAGCTCCCCGACACGGTGCTTCATTTCCAGTAAAGCAAACAGTGCCTGATCTTTCCCCTGCCCTGGTCTGAGCTTCTTGTGAGCAACCAGGACTCCCACCGCTGGAGGAAGAAGTCGCGTGTTTTTTAGAAAATGATTTCCTCTGCCGACTCCTGGGAAGTATTAGCAACCTCTGCGCAGGGATGGGCACACTCCCCTGCCTCCTGCAAGGCGGACCTTCCCAGAACCCGGAGCAGCTTCGGAGATTTAAAAGACATTGCCCACGCTGGGACTCGGGCATCTCAGACCTCCTACTGTGGGAGCAGGAAAATGCCTCGACCTTAGGTCGGTCCCACTGGCTACCCAGACAGGCCCTGCGCGTCTGGGGAACGGGAGGGCGCAGACAACCCGAGGGCAGATACGTGGCCGCGGTGTGGTCCTTTCTATCTGAGAGCCACGGTCTGACCATCACCAGCTCGGTTGTCACTGTGGCCTGGGCCTTGGCTTTGAGCTCGTCGGGGTGATGGGTGTTCACAGCTGGGTTTGTCCCTGAAGTCCAGGGAGAATTTTTCGCTTTTCCTTTCTAGATAGTAGAAGGAACATGCTATGTTCTTTGGCTAAAATGCTTGATCCTTCTCACTGTAAGGATTGCCCTCTGAAAACATCTGTAGTAACAACTTCTATTACGAAAGTGCACTCTCTATCATTTAGCATTTTGTTGCATTATGATAGCTTGTTAATCAATACACATGTTCCCCAACGCATGTTACCAGCAATAGCCAGCCTCCTATCTCTTTGCTTTTTTGTTTAAGGGTCGAAAGATTTTTGGAGACACCGGAAGTGTGTGAGGGGGAGCGAAGATGTCTAAGACAGCGGAAGATTTTCCACTTCCATGTTTTTTTTTTCAAGATCTAGGCTTGACCGTTGCTACATTTTCCAGAATCGTGTAGTGAAGGACTACTTTTAATCAAAAGAGTTGGGTGAAACAAACACACGGAAAGCGAGTAGAGGGAGAGATGGGTTAGTGCCAGCAAGAGTAAGGGAGCCCACTGGTGTCTGTGGAGGCGGCTCTCTGGACCCCAGGGAACAGGAGGCTTGGTGGGAGGCTTCCCAGCCGACTGCAACTGGCTCCTCCCTCTAAGCCCCAACCAGGCAGGCCCAGAGCTTGCAGCTAAATAAACACCTATGGAGGTGACTGGAAGTCTGGTGTGAGGGGTGGGCGGGAAGGCAGGGGGCTGAGACAAAGATCTGGTGACGAAAATTGAGATTTTTCACAGCCCGGTACAGCTTGAAGCTTTGGGGAAATGCATCTAACCTCTTATGGTATCTCTCTTTGGGTTGTTTTGGTGGTTCTGAAACTTGATTTCCTGAACCTCCAAGTTACTTTAATTTTATCTGATGTGGGAAAAGCACAATAAGCCATGAGTTCTTGGAGGGAGGTGGAGACAGTCTCTGCATTTTTTAGAGCAGTTTCCAGGACATATAAAAATGAACACAAACTTTACATCAGGAGAGCCTGTTGGTTAATATGTTGGATATTTTGGACAGGCAGAATAATTTAGTAACTAGTAGGCACAGAGCCGACTTACTGAGAATTCATCCTGAAGGCGTGTGCTACCGACCCACACGTGCATCCACGACCGCTTTCTGCCCGGGCTGGTGGGAACACTTTGGCGGGCGAGCTTCAGGGTCCTTGATGTTAAGAACTTTGATGAGATCCTATTGTTGAGATCCAGGATCACTGTGATTAACTTAAAATGTGGTGGAAGGGCCGTCATTCGATATTTTGTTATCCCGAAGTCTCAGCCTCTGTGAATAAAGTTGTTTTTTCATTAACCTCTCAGTGACTGGTTCAATGGATTACTGGGGGGGGGGGGGATAAACAAACAGTGTAATAAGAAAGGGGAGCCTGGGATTATATCTCGGAACCCCAACAGTGTCTCTGGAGGCTCTGGCTTGCGAGGCGGGGTACACAAACATGGACTGGAGGGTAGGAGCTGAAAACCCCAGGACTGGTGGATGCTGCCTGAATGTCAGCAATAAGATGAAGATTCTGCTGTGTAGGATGTGTTTTTAATGTTTTCTTTTTATGTTTGATTTGAGATCTCGTGTGTTTCGTTAAGTTATGATGCCTGTTTTCTGGAGAAGCAAATAATCGAATACTGTCATTTTAAAAAATACTGTCATTTATCTTAGAGTTACAGTTCCAAAAAGTTCCACAAACATTATTTTTATGGCAAAGAAAAAAAAGGCAGGAGTATGTATTACTTTGTAAGGGTGTTTATACATACATAAAGAGGAATTCTGTTACCTAATCCCCACATTCATCTGGTTTAGGAAAGCAAAGAGAAACGGACAGTGGGGTCATTTCTATGGATTCTATACAATTCCATGTGTTTTCCTTCCTACTGGAGAGAGAGAGGGGCTGTGGCACTTAGCAATCAAACAGCTGTTCTAATGTTCCAGTTTAGTCCTGTGCTCCAAATTACGATCAATGAGAGCAAGGAAAGGTTTCTACTCTCAATAAAAACAAAATCACCTAGATTTCAAGTAAACTAAAAGCAACCAAATCATTCTGTTCTTTGGCAATCTGAAGTATGCCTCAGTGTTCTCTAAACAAAGGGAACAGATTCTGGTTCCTGTAGATGATCGTTGGTTTAAGCCTTGATTACACACACACACACACACACACACACACACACACACACACACACACACTTATGAGTACACTGATCATAATAGGGGATATGGCAGGTGTATGTGCAGCGATAAATGTGTATGTGTACATATATGTATACATGTGTGTATGTATATACATACATGCATGTGTGTATATATGTTCTACACACACAAATGGTCAGAAATTCACCTTCATTGCATAGCTGGGACAGATAAACTCAGATCAAGTGCTGAATTCCTTTAGATTTACACAAGTATTGGTACTTTGGGAAAGATTTTGTTTTTCTATATAATTTGAACAAGGAATAATTTAGTTTTTTGCACTATCATAGTGAAACTAACAAGGACTTTACAAAAGAATCTTGGAAGACATACCCACCTGAGACCTTTACCTTCCCAACTTTTGCAAGAGGCTTCAAAGAGGCCTTTTGCTTTGTCTGCTCATGGATGTTACCTGGCTCTTGTGGAGGCTGATGGCCTCCTGGGTCTTACACGCCCCATAAGGTTTTCCAGAATTGGAACAGGATGTGTCTTGCCATTTTCCAATACAGCCGCATCTCTCTGGAAAGAGGCCCACCCCATGGTCTCTACCATTTCGTGAAGAGTGGTCAGCGTCTATGCATGTGTGGGTTAATGAATTAGCCACATGTGATGATATTGTTACAGCTGAAGGCCAGAGCCCATCCGCCCGGGCTGCACCCATGTGAGAGCCACGACTCGGTGTACTTCCCATGTTCATGGCGGCTGGGGTCTTGTTTCCATGATGCAGGGGTTGTTCCATCGAGTCAAAAATACACATGAGAGGCTTCCCTGGTGGCGCAGTGGTTGGGAGTCCGCCTGCCGATGCAGAGGACGCGGGTTCGTGCCCCGGTCCGGGAAGATCCCACATGCCGCGGAGCGGCTGGGCCCGTGAGCCATGGCCACCGAGCCTGCGCGTCCGGAGCCTGTGCTCCCCAACGGGAGAGGCCACAACAGTGAGAGGCCCGCGTACTGCAAAAAAACAAACAAACAAACAAAAAAAAACACATGATAATAAACCAAGTTTATTATTAAAATTGAAGAACATGAGTTTGTTGGAAAAGTAAAATTCTTTTTATCCACATTTCAAGCAGTTTTTATGCCTGAATAGCCAAGTGTCAAGTTCTCGTCTACACTTGTCTTTATCCAGACGCCCCAGACTCGGGGTTCTGCAGGGTCAGACAGATCCCATAGATTGTACAGTGACCTAGAGGGGTCCACAGGGAGTGGTGGGGCCTGGGCCCAACTGGGAGGGTCTGTCTCTTCCAGTGGCGTCCAGTTGCCAACTGCCCTGGGAAAACCACACAAGTGGCTCATAGGCCAGATGTGGATTCAAACCCAGGGTGTACACTGTGGTGGGCAGACGAGACCAAGTGGAAAATTCACTTCTTCCCCTGGAAGGTGGCTGGAGAGAGGGAGGTGGGAGGGCCTATCCTAAGTACTGGGGGTTGGGGGGACATTATCAACTCAGGTGTCTTTATTTACCCTGGCAGTGATAGGGGCGGGCAAAGGGTAGGCACTGGGGCAAAGATTCAGTCTCAACCTCCTCTTCCCATTGGCGTGAACCAGGGTTCCAGCAGGAAACAGAAACCTACTTAGATGAACCACTGGAAAAGACCTGGTTGGAGGGACTACTTACAGGGGAGCAGGTGGAGTGAGTGTAGATGGGACCGCAGTGCTGGTGCGGGCAGGAGCTGAGGAGAATGACCCGACTTCTCTCCTCTTCTGCCTTCCAGCCTCACGTTGATGCCTCTGATCGGCTAAACCCCACCAGGAGTCCAGCCTACAGGAGTCCAGCCTACAGGGAGCCCAGGTGATACAGTCCACAGGGCTCAGCCTGCTGGGGCAGAGAGGGGTAGAGAACGCACCAGGCTGGGACCGAGGCAAACAGAGCACAGCCAGCACAGTGGAGGGTCCTGCCTCTGGGGCCAGTTGGTGGCAGCTGCCCGGACCACACTGTTGACGTCCAAGGGCCAAGACCAGGATGTCTGGGACAATACCGGCGGCTGCACCTGGCATTCTCAGAGATTGGATTCTCCCGTCTGGCAAGCTTCCGGGAGAAGGTGGTTCTAGACCCTCGCCTGAGAGCCTCTTGGGTGGGCAGAGTCTGGATTTAGCTCCTGAGGGCCCTGGCCCTGGCCGTACAGTCTCCGCCTTCTCACCTCTGAGCCTGGAAAGGACTTGCTGAGTTGCTGGGGGCTGCGATGACTGCACCTAGTTTGTATCCATTTGCTGAGCATTTAAAACAAAGTTACTCCTTCCTGGCTAGTGCGAGGAGCGCAACTGATGCCGTGTTACTCTTCCAGAATGTGTGTCCCACACGCTGGGGAGGGCGTCCTCCAGCCGGAGTCCAGGGAAGGGACACAAAGGAAGTGTCTCGGCCGAAGGTCAGGCACTCTGGGAAGAGTGGGGAAG